CATAGCTGCAGTCTCTGGTTTCTCTAACGGTTTCATTCATCCACTTTAACTCCCTTGTGTATGTATGCATGAGTGTGTGTGTATGGTTGTTAGACTAGTTCATTTTTGCGCACAAATTACATGACTTTCTGGTTCTGTCACCGCTTGTGAATAGTGTCCCTTTAACAATTTCTGATCTTGTTACATGCTCTAATGCCCTAGTACTGTAAAAAAGTAATTTTCTATGGCCACGAAAATATCATTTCTTATAACTGATATGAAATTACACTGAATGTTCGCTGGACGAACAGATTAGTTGATGGTAATATTAATTCTGCTACAGTTACTGGCAGCTGATTAAAATAATTATAATTAATTATAATTATTTATATACATTTCCCTTTTGAGCTAATTTGCTACAAAAGTTAGTACTTTACCACACCAGACAACGAAACCACTAGATCTTGTGGTTACAAATACAGTTGTGACCACTCAGTATCAAACCTGACAGCCAAAGTTGCTGGAGCTCACAATCTGAATGCTTCATTGACTTGGTTACTGTACACATTTTTTGCTAATCAGATATCTAGTCTGGACTGATACTATATCTCTTTCATTTTCACAACCCCTCCTATTTCTCTCACATTTTTTCCACACGTGTTACTGTCACATCTTACTTTCAGAGTTATTTCTAACACATGATGCGCCTTTAAAAAATGCAGCCTCATGATAACACAAAAGCTGCATTTATTATACATTTATAGGAACAGGTCATAGTTTTTTTCCCACTGGTATTATAAAGAGATACAGATTATAAACCCCTGCTAGATCTGAGACAAAGGACATTGCCTCAAAGATTATTACAGCACACTACAGACATTACAACACACTCTAGTCTGATATATAGAGAAATTACGTACTCTAGCTACATGCACCCAAATAATCCATTTAATCGGACTGATGGCTCAATCTGACAGAAAAGCTTTCATGTCAACACCTCAGCTGATCCAAATGAGGTCGATCTGAATGAAATTTCATTTAAAATGGGTGGCGAAGACCAGAAATAATCAACAGGAAAAAAAGTTCTGAATGCAGCGATTGGTCACTCCATATGCGCTGAAGTTTTGTTCGGAATACATGTTATGTAACAATATGTGAATCGTACTGTAACGTTTAGGGTTCATATAAACAGAACTTTCAGAATCTGAAATTAGATCGAATTCATTCTGATTAACGGAAATGAGTGCATGTAAACATACCTACTGTGGTGTCTCCACTTTTATGCATGTTAATCATCACTGTAAAAAAAAAAAAAAGTAAAATGTTCATGCTGCCCTGAAATTTTAAGTTTAGTCAATTTCCTTTAGATCCAGAAAAGTTATTCTAAAACTAAATTTTAATTTGTGATTGCTAAGGGCCACAAATACCATGCCAGCAGGCCCCAATGCAACTTTGAATTTGAACAGGGACTAGAATACATGACCGCGGGAAACACAATGGGTTTCTACAGCCCCTTCTAGTGGCTGATGTAAGAGGTGTAATAATGTAAAAGTACTGTGACAAACATAGATTTCCCCCAAATATATATTCATGCAGTATTTGAAGGCAATCTCTACCAGTACAGTCAGTGCAATACAAAAACAACTTATTATTTTTATTATAATGCAGTTTTAATTAATTTGAAAACACATTATATTTTCAGAATTTTAAACAAAGGTTTAAGTTGAAGGTTTCATGTAATGATACCCTGATAATAAAAGTTCAGTCTAGGCCTACTTTAAGTCTGAATCAAAGCTGTCATCACTTTGAAGGCACACATGTAGCTTTTTTTCACATAACATGCATCGTCATTCCACTTGCCAACATCTAAAAAAGCAGAAAAAGGTCAAACCAACAGAGAATGAATAATCATTATAGATTCAACATTACATTTTCTACTAATCATGCAACTTTATTTGATCTGTAAATAGAATTATTGGTAAAATGGTCAAACGAAACGCTTACGATTCCAGTTCATTTCCACACAGTCCTCTCTGTAGCTGAAGATGTGGTTGGGCTCACCAGGTGTCCAAATTTGATAGTTCCAGGAGGAACCATCAGTCCAGATAAATTTACCAGACTGAGAGAGTAAGACAGAGATAAAACATTTGAAGGAAAAGGCTATTGACAAATAAAAAATGGAAATGTCTCATTTACCTGAAAAAGCTCAAAGCCTCCGATCCAGATGCGCAGGTTGCGTGGGTTTAACTTGATCACAATGCAGAGCACATCACCATTAGCCTTGGAGTTATGCACTGACACCAGGTGTCCACCAGGGGCTGTGCTTCTGCAGCTAAACTGTGCAGGAAGAGCAATAATATCAATACTAAAGAAAATGTGGAAAGAATAAATTGGAGAATGTGAGCATATGTTCTTTTGTTTATCTGTGATGCCTGTTTTCTCACACTGACACTATTTACCTCAGATGCACTGAAGTTGAGAGGGTTGCTGAAATATTTGACACACCGTGACCCCACTTTGTACCAGTCCTCATAGCCAGTCATTGGACATGCTTTAGGCAGAACACAGCCTGATGATGGACTTGTATGTCCAGCAGCTTCATCTAAATGACAACATTACACCCCAAATTTATCCTGCACTCTTAAAAATAAAGGTTCCAAAAGGGTGTTTTCACAGTGGTGCTACAGAAGAAGATTTTTGGGTTCCCCAAAGAACCTTTCAGTGAACAGTTCTGAAAATAACACATTTTTGTATGAAAAACATGTAATAATTTGAAGAACATTTTGTGCAATGGAAAGGTCTAACTATGGATGTTAAAAGCTCTTCATGGAACCATTAATTCCAAAAAAGACTTTTTAAAGAGTGGTGCGTTTAAAAAGTCTGTTTGTGTTTATTGCATGACGTAACATATTTTAGTAAATGAAATAAAAGTTCAGCATCACCTCTCTCCATTGTTAAGAAACTACCACTTCCAAACAGGAGAGTTATCAATAAAAAGCTAAAAGACTCCATTCCTGCTACACTGTGAAGAAGAAAACATTATCAGTGGAAGGTTACATGTATTTTTTTAAATAGAATTTTAAAGAATAGAATACTAGATAGAATAAATATAATTTTTAATTTTTATTATTATTATTTATTTATTTTGAATAATGTTAAAATAATACAAGGTTACCCAAGCTTATCTAGGTGCAAAAATGACAAAATATCTTGGTTTCTGGATACAAAAAATGTTTTAGTTGGAGAAGAGGACTTACCGCTGCAATCCTTCCACTCTTGTTTTCTATGTTCCCTCATAACAACATTAGTCTGTCTTAAATCTGTCGCTGCATTCTTTTTCACAACTCCTCCCTTTCTATAACCAGGGTTATCATAGTTGACTAGAACTAAAACTTAAACCATTAAAAATCATTACTTTGAAAAATAAAAAAATAACTGAAATAAAATAAAACATTTCAGCTTCAATTTCAGCTAGTTGCAACATTTCTTCTCATGTACTAACATAACTCAACCTAACACTTCAAGTACAACTTAAAAGAAAACAGAAAATATAAAAAATTAACACAAAATATTAATAAATAAATATGAATATGATGCTAAAATAATTCTGTCTCTCATTCAGCCTTCAGTGTGTTAAATGGAGTTTGACATGGAAGCTCTGCATGCATGGCATGTATTTACATTGTATTTAAAAAAAAAAAAAAGTATATGATTAATACAAATTATCTGTGGATTAGATTGAATAAGATTAGACATGTGAATGCATTACTTTGGTCATGTTAGACAAACACTTTTAACCTATAATTGTTCAACTTAAGAAAGCCTGTTCTTTTACCACACTAGACGGTTATACCACTGTCCCATGTGGTTACAGACACAGTTGCTGATCTCTTAAAATTTTAACTTCTACTTTTCACATTGCAAACTACAGATGATGGAAATCCCAAGCTGCAAGAATGCCTGCACTGTTTGTCTGACTCCAAATTTTAATGTCATGAAAGTCTGAGACGGTTGTTTTTCAGAAAATGACTGCAGAGCTTATTATTTCTCTTTCAGCTTAGTTAATTCATATTTCTCCTTATGTAAAATACTGGTATGATGTTCGTTTTTTTACAACTCCTTCTACTTCTCACTTTTTCTAACTGCATTTGAGCTGTGATACTTATTCAGCATCTTCACACCAAAAACCAAATGCTTTTAGTAATGTTAACCATGCACTTTATTTTACTCCAAAATTGAATTTTCAGTTATTGATAGTGATATCTTGTCAGTCTTGTTTTTCTGTCATAAATCACTAGTTCAGAGAACCATTTATTTATATTATAAATGACAAGTAAATGTACACTTGTTTTTATTGCCCTGAGCCTCCAAATAACCTGCATCAAAGTTTACAAGCAACTTAATGGAATTAGTGGTAGTATAAACAAATTATTAACAACGTGTAAGAGTTCAGAAAAATTTGATCATGCAATGTTACCATCCACACTTGGCCAAAGGTGGGACTGATACTCTTTAACAACAAGTCTAACAATAAACAACATATTCACACACAAAAAACAAAACAAAAAAAAAACACACATACAGCTGCATAGCTACATTTGGGTGTATGCTATACAATCACATGAAATATTAAATATTTTTAACTAATCGCTAGTTAAGGCCATGCAAACACTATGAGTATACATAGCAGAATTTGAGTATTTACTTACTATTTAATACTATTATTTACAAAATATAGTAATATTTTTGATCAGTCAGGCAAATAATACATTTTGACTGATTGATTTTGATTTTGAGATGTTTAAGATTGGGGCCATGGTTATAATTAAAATAATCTTTATGTTTAAGGCAAATGTAAAATTAGGGGGGGAAGTTCAGTTGATAGCCTATGGAACCGTTTTGTGTGTGTGTGTGTATATATTGGTCTACACTGTTCTTTGTGGAAGGATCTAGGATTAGTGGAAAAAAATATAAAGATTATGACTGGAATGAAGAACTTTGAATTAAAAATTCCCCCCCCCCCAATCCTTCCCCAAGTGCTGTGACCAGCCCTTTTAACTATAACGATCAATGGAAAATGCTCCGGAGTCGTTGGAGAACTTCTCATCAGTTTTGATTGAATGCTGGCTGTGGTCTCTGGTCCTGTACAATGAATTATTGCTCTGAATATGTGAATCTGATACCTAGAAACAGAGCAAGAGAGAGACAGCGAGGCAAAGATTATTTTCATTTTCATCATAACTATAGATAGATGTAATGCTGTTGTTGACTTGCTTAAATGCAAACCTCTTCAAATTTCTTGGCCTTGTATTGGTCAGCTCCTTTCAAGAAGTTCAACAGAATGATGTCACAAAGCACTGTACCCTAAAATAATGAACATTAAGAAAAAGTCCACTGAAACTGGTCCTCATACACTGTATTATTCTGATATTTAATCTTCTGATATTTAAGATGTTAACAATTATGAATTATTTTCTATTGTAAATAACTTCAGTGTTACACATGAACAATAATAAACAACACATTTATATGCATCCATATATCATGCTTTCATTGAAATGGATGCTAATGTTTAAAAATATCTAAATATCTAATATGCTAATGTTTAAAAACTTAATGCATCTCCAAATGCACTTTAATTAATGATAAAACAGGTTGGTTAAGTTGAGGATGGAGATAAAACTGATGTCATGGAAGTTATAGTTACATAAAAAGATAAATATATATTATACAAAAATACTGGCATGTGGTTCTCGGAGACGTTACCTGGTTTCCATAAAATGTCTCCATTATGCAAGTAAATTATGTCTATACTGATCGATCTTTCCTGAAGATTTGGGGCCAGTCGGGCGGTTTGCTCACTTCTCACTTGGATCACATTTCAGATGATTTAACATATTTTCATTATTTGACTTATGCTTACACTGGTCAGAACTATGGTAAAAGTGTTGTGCTTAGTAACTGGCAGGACAGACCAGGACTATCACACGCATGCATTATTATTATTATTTTATTTATTTATTTATTTTCGCAGACTCTGGTACCATATTTGCTTGAATTGACTGACATTTTCATGTTTTCTTAAGAAGGCTGTATGCCAAAAATGTGCACTGAATAAGTCAATATATATAAAAAACTTGAACAATTTGGATTGTTCATTATATTTACAATGAGTCGTGTATTGATCCCAACATTGAAACCCCCCCCCAGATATTTATTAATATTTTTAATATATTCATATAAATATTTTATTAATATTATTAAGTATGATCTACTTAACTTTATGACATAATATGGAATGAAGTGGTTTTTGACTAACATTATGCTGCAAGTCAGCAGTGCAATATGAAGTGACCAAACTAGATTTCATTATAACCAATTAAATCTCAAAATACATCTTAAATTAAAACTTAACTCGAAGCAAATATCTGAATTTTACTAAAGCTACTGTTTATGTCTGTGGCAGCAATGGATCTCGAATTATTATGGTTGCACCACTTAACTACTTTCTAGTTCTGTTTATACTGATGTTGATTTTATTGTCACATTTAGTAGCAAGACCTGTTTTGTGACTTTTGGAGTTACCCATTTTCTATATAATGTTAATGCACAGAATCTATTTATGAAGACACATACCACACCAACAGAGGTGAAGGCAGCAACCATGTTGATCAGAGTTGGGATCATGTCAAATTTTCCCGCCTTTAAAGAGAAGATGTCAGGAGCAATTATAAACACACTTGCACAGAAGTGTGAAACTCAAAAATACACAAACATGATATGTGTTTTTGATGAACTCACATCTCCATTAACCAGCACATCAAATCTGATGGCGTAGGCTTTCAGCAGAGTGCGATACTCGGTTCCGTTCTCCATTTTAAAATACTTTGCGTACCTAAGGACAAAGATTTAGACATGTTAGCAAGTAGGGATTTCAGTAAGGATTATCCAACCTGTCAGCCTTTTTGTAATAGATTCCAGTATGTGGCCACTATAAAAGTTTGGCATGTAACAAATCTGAACATCAAGAATTAGCTTTGTGATAAACATGTGAATGAAGTATGTGTATTTGGTTGCAAAGTATCAATAGAGCCGTGAAGACCGTAGCACTCTTCATTCAACTTTAAGGTGGAAAGAAAAGCTTCCAGAACCTGAAGTTGTATCCTGGAGACACAGTGGTCTTCTCTGACATGGCGTCCAGGCGAGTGAAGGAGTAGGCTGGCTTGCACTCATCATCTGCCTTGTCTAAATCACACACCCACGCTATTTTTATCCCTATCACTCCCCCCTGAGAGAGAGAGAGAGAGAGAGAGAGAGAGAGAGAACTTACACAAATCCAATTTGACATTGCACTTAAGGAGAAATAAAGATAATGCAATTTTTTTTAGAAAAAAAAATGTTTTTTTTTTTATACAACACTTATTAGATACTTTTATAATACAGTTATTATTTAATACAACATGTATTTCTTTGTCTTCTTTTAAACTATTTCCATTGGTGGAGGTAAACATTATGAACTAACTGGCCAAATTACTTGTAAAACTTATGTTTATCAGACTTATTTATAGAAACGTTGTATAGAAGCAATTTAACAATCACAAAAAATAAATAAATAAATAAAAAACAGCAATTGTGCTTGTATGATATTTCTTACATATGTAAAGCTAAATGATTACAGTAAGAAAGCAAGGGGGAAATTAACCAAATAATTAAATGAACACTCACTTTTTTAGCAAGAGTAGTAAAGTCCTGCTGTGCAAATCGGATCACATCTCCCACTTTGAATATTGGACAATACATGTTACTCTCAAAGTCAAAATTACACTGCTTTATGTAAGAACTATTGATGTTGGGCAAGAAATTTCCCCTGAAAGGAAAAGAGAAATATTTAATAATAAAAAATAAAAAAAAACATTAGAAATGCAGATATTATTATGAAACAATTTGTCTTTGTGTTTGGTTGCCATTACTTTGTGAAGTTAAAACGTGGGAAGCGAATGCTGTTCTTGATGAAGATGGTAAAGTTCTCCACCTCCATCATGGGGTTTCTGAGTAAGAAAAAACTTCATCAGTCCTTTTATTCAACCATTCACACATCTATTCATTTGTTCATTTACAAGAGGACTCACGGCTGAATTTCATCAATCTCTGCGGGACACCATCCTTTGATCTCACAGGTTTTGTGGGTAACATTGAAATTCACACATCGTCCTGTCAGTAACCCTTGAGAAAAAAACAATGGAAAAGAACATAACATATAGAGCAGGGCTGAATACACCTGAACCAGCTATTGTCCCAATTTAGAGGCGGCATCTTTTAAAGGCTGCTTTCAAATGACCGAATTCCCTTACGGGCAATGAAGCATACAACAGATGAATCCTTCATCTTCGTTGTGCACTGGTGACGATGGGTTTTTTTTTTTTTTGGAGAGAAAATGCCGGATTTCACTTTTAAATTTAGTATTGGGATTAAAAAAAAAAAACTTGCAATCTTTCTAAGATAGATATAGATAGTTCCTACTTTTTATTATGTACATAAATAGACCAGTGCAAACATATTTAGACAGGTTGTGAACCCTGTTTCATTTTCTGTTGAAAATAAAAAAAGAACAATCCTCTACAGGCTAGACGGTCCCACACAGCTACTAAAAGCTTCCAAGCAAGTATGTTGGAGCTGGTTGGAGCTAAACCCTACAGGATGTTAGCCCTTCAGGAGCAGGATTGGACACCCCTCATATAGACCTTACTGTGATGATTTTGAGCTGTGCACAAATAGACCATTAAGGGGGTCAAATTCTAATGAATTTATATTTTTATAATGTCACTAGGTTTAATTGGTTTTCCTTGACCGTTTCAGGATCACAAAACACTCCACAATGAAATGCTAAGATTAAATAAAAAATAATTCACAAGTATTCCTTATTATTTGATCCTTCAAAAAATTCATAAAGACTACAAAGAAGATAAAAGAAAATCTTACCATTGCTAGGTGGTTTTGACATCAGCTTCTTACAAGTACTGTCGTTCACACATTTGAATTTCAACTCACTCTGAAGAGTTACATGTACAAACACATGAACACACACAGGGGCAAGAATCTATCAAATTCGTGTACATTAATCTTGACAGATTTCAGTGTCCTCACTCACCTCTGGACAGTGTCCTTGAACTTGATTTTCTGTCGTGATGAGCTTAGTGATGACGCAGAACACTGACGCCCCCTGGTACACACACACACACACACACACACATCATACAATAAAATAAAGAAGTATTTAAAAAAAAATCAATAATATAGTCAATTGTATAGGCATTAAAATTATATATACAGTGTATATATATATATATATATATATATATATACTCCTCTAAATATTGTTAAACTGCTTGAGATTTACTTGAGTAGGTGTGACATAATCGGCAACATCCATGATACGGTTGTTATACTCTCCAAATCCTTTCACTTTAGTCATGACTGATGACTCGATAGCTGTGTCTCTCACTTGATATGCTTTCTCATACAAAAACACCCAGCTAAGGGAGGTTGGGTAGGGTGGAAATAGAGAGAGGGTGGGGGAAAAAGATATACAGAGAGATTAAATGGCTTTCTTTTTTTACTTTCTTTAATATAAAACACTCACAAATATTACAAAATACTTACAATAAATAAATAAATATGTAGCCTATGCTTGTCCATTTTTTTTACTAAGAACAAAAAGATGATTCCTACTATTGCAATTGCAATAGTAGGAATCATCTTTTTGTTCTTAGTAAAAAAAATGGACAAGCATAGGCTACATATTTATTTATTTATTGTAAGTATTTTGTAATATTTGTGAGTGTTTTATATTAAAGAAAGTAAAAAAAGAAAGCCATTTAATCTCTCTGTATATCTTTTTCCCCCACCCTCTCTCTATTTCCACCCTACCCAACCTCCCTTAGCTGGGTGTTTTTGTATGAGAAAGCATATCAAGTGAGAGACACAGCTATCGAGTCATCAGTCATGACTAAAGTGAAAGGATTTGGAGAGTATAACAACCGTATCATGGATGTTGCCGATTATGTCACACCTACTCAAGTAAATCTCAAGCAGTTTAACAATATTTAGAGGAGTATATATATATATATATATATATATATACACTGTATATATAATTTTAATGCCTATACAATTGACTATATTATTGATTTTTTTTTAAATACTTCTTTATTTTATTGTATGATGTGTGTGTGTGTGTGTGTGTGTGTACCAGGGGGCATCAGTGTTCTGCGTCATCACTAAGCTCATCACGACAGAAAATCAAGTTCAAGGACACTGTCCAGAGGTGAGTGAGGACACTGAAATCTGTCAAGATTAATGTACACGAATTTGATAGATTCTTGCCCCTGTGTGTGTTCATGTGTTTGTACATGTAACTCTTCAGAGTGAGTTGAAATTCAAATGTGTACAGTGTATATATATATATATATATATATATATACTCCTCTAAATATTGTTAAACTGCTTGAGATTTACTTGAGTAGGTGTGACATAATCGGCAACATCCATGATCCGGTTGTTATACTCTCCAAATCCTTTCACTTTAGTCATGACTGATGACTCGATAGCTGTGTCTCTCACTTGATATGCTTTCTCATACAAAAACACCCAGCTAAGGGAGGTTGGGTAGGGTGGAAATAGAGAGAGGGTGGGGGAAAAAGATATACAGAGAGATTAAATGGCTTTCTTTTTTTACTTTCTTTAATATAAAACACTCACAAATATTACAAAATACTTACAATAAATAAATAAATATGTAGCCTATGCTTGTCCATTTTTTTTACTAAGAACAAAAAGATGATTCCTACTATTGCAATTGCAATAGTAGGAAGTTACAATTGCCTCTTAATGTACTTTACATCAATTATGTTATTGAAGGCTAAAAACCAAGCCATTTAATTGTTCAGTAATGATTAATCAAATTTACTACAATATTTTTTTTTTCTTTACAATGTTTTTAAACATAACCGCGTTTTATTTTATTTTTTATTTGTTTGGGCACAATTTTAAATCTATCAACTACTGACACTGTAAAAACATAGTCTCAAAACAAACTCACCCAACGAAGTATGTGATGATGAGGAGTTGGACGACACGGTTTATGATGCCAATAGTCCAGCTCTTTACCACCACGGACTTGGTCGTCTCATAGGTAAAGAAATCTGTTATGCATTTCCACATTTTTCCAGAACACTGCTGCATTCACAAAAATTAGACTCCGGGTATATTAATGTATTTGTGTGAAAGATTAGTTAGAAATACAGTGTAGATGCTTCCGATATATCCGTCCAAATGCTCGATCCTGTGTTTTTATAATCTAAAACCCATGGATTGTCAATAAAAGCTCTTCAATAATTTTCCTTATTTGTTTGCCTGATAAAAAGTCCCCACATCTTGAGAGAAGATGCTTTCATAGAAGACCCCCTCTCTCTCTTCTAGTCCCTCCCCTTCTCCTCCCTCTTTCTTCATTCTTCCTCCTTCAGTTATTCTATCCTATCATTTCCTCAGATATAAAATGTACGTTACACTCTTAGCAACTTACAAAAGTGCTCAAACCAAATGACAAAATCAAACAAAAATCACAAATCAAAGTTATGCCTTAGCCCCAAAGAAGTTCCTAACGTCTCTGTACTGTAACATCCATATAGTATCTATAACAGAACAACCGAATCAGATGCAGGGTATTAGCAGTGCAGGAATATGCTGGATGTTCAGTGTGTGAGAGGTCTGAATAGGTGAATCTTGGCGAGTGACATGCACATTATATCATGGCCACCACGACAGCCCCATGCACTAGAAAAAAAGCTGTTTCAAACTGGAAGCTCCATTAGCGTGCAATTAAAGATTTTAAGTAGATTACATCTATGCGTTCTTTTCCATTCTTATGCATTGATGGACTGTATATTGTCATTTGCAATATTAGCTTGTTATCTAAACCTTCATGTTCTGATTGTTTTTATGCTTGGAGGCACATAATGCTGTATGTGTAAAAATATTAGCAGTAATAATGTTAGTTGTATTAATTTAGAATAATATAATTATTAGCAATAATATCCGTTTTATTCTTACTACTATTATATATTTTTAATTAACCCTTTTCTCTTTTACCATTCAAGAGTTTGGGGGCAATGAGATATTTTAATGTTTTTTCAAAGAAGTCCCTTATGCTCACCAATAATTGACATTTATAAAAAATATCATTACAATTTAAAATGACTGTTTTAAAAAAATATATCTTTAAAATGAAATATATTAAATGAATTTTCAGCAGCCATGTCACATGATCCTTCTAAAATCATTCTACTATACTGATTTGCTGCTAAATAAATATTATCATTGTTGAAAACAGTTGTGCTTCCTAATACTTTTGTAGAAACTGTGATAATTTTTTTTTTCAGAATTCTTTGATGAATAGAAAGTGCAAAAGAACAGCATTTCTTTTGAAATACATTAAAAAGGAAATGTGTAAAAACCTTTACTGTTGCTTTTTTATTAACGTATCTTTGTATGCTATCCTTTTTAAAGTGCTTTTAAACAGCAGTGTATTTCTTAATCAAAGACAGCAAGCAGATATATCAACTTCAATGGAGGACGTTTAAAACATATCAAGTTAAAATTCATATATATATTTTTTATATTATATTTTTCATTTACGTATCAGAGGAACAAAGACCTTCTAACACTGATACATCAAGCTGTTCTTTTACAAAGAGCTGGACGAGAGTGTCATTAACTCTAATTCCAATTATGCAGATGGAAAAAAAAATGCCATTAGGATGCATCCCACAACAAGCACTAACACATCACACACTTTAACCACAATTGAGAGGTAACATTTCTTGACATGGCCAAGAGAGCAACCATTAACCTGTGGTTACCTCACTCTAGAAGTACAATACATCTGGGACTCGCTTCCCCGCAAAAACACACACAATGCAGGAGTAACACATGACAGAGGACCAAATCAACTGAGAGAGTAAGCTCAAGCACTGCTGGAGTATTTGAAGATGTCTATCAGTCTAGGATAATGTTGAGTGTTAGATGTCTCATGATGATTCGATTGTCTTGAAACAGGATCTTGAGATGAAGGGAGGGTACAGAGTGAAAAGAGGGGAGAGAGAAAGAGACAGAGGAGAGAGTGAGGAAATGGATGGGACTCAATACAAATTGGTGAACAAAGTCATCAATGCGCCAAATGCAATAATGAGCAAAGTGGTTTGAGAACCATGATTGAGAGAGAGACAAAATCCACAGAAACGTAACAGATACGAACAGATACGGGGAGTGACGCAAAAAAAGGCAGACTAAATGGAAATGGGAGCAGCAGGAACGAGGAGGGAAGAGATGCAGGAATTAACGTTACATGCATATACCAGAAATAAGAAAAAACAAAAACAAAAAAGAAACCAGAAAATTAAGACTAAAGAAAGAAGCAGAGCCCAAAGAAATATTTTATAGAATGTTTAAACAGCATATATAATAATAATGGTGGGCGTGAGGTGAGGAATGGCCTACATCCTAAGGGCTAGCTTTTTTTTTTTTTTGCTATTTTAACCTTGCCATTTGGAAAGGCATTGAAGAAATTGGTTCCGCTTTTAATATTCCTCTTTGTAGGGGCAAAGGAACCTAGGTAGTTCCTTTGTCCCCCCCCCCCAGGAACCATAGCAGCACCCCTGACAAAGAGCAAAATAGTTATTCAGTCTAATGAGAAAAGGTGTAATAATCAGGGGTGTGAAATGTATTCAAAAATTATACTCAAGTACATATACTCAGTGAAAATTTTGCTCAATTTTACTCACATTTTACTTAAAAGTACAAGTATCTGGCCAAAAGCATACTTGAGTAAAAGTAAAAAAAGGACAACTTTAAATTTTACTTGAGTATTAAAAAAGTACATGTACTCCAAATATAAATAAATAAATAAATAAAGGAGATTCTTATTTCACCATGTTGAGCCATCTTCTCAATGCAAAGTGAAACTGCTTAAAATTAAATTGCATAAAATGTTTTGTCAGACAGACATACAAAGGTTTGGTTAAAGTGAGAAACAAAACAAAACACATTTGTACAAGTCATCTAGTGCAACAACGACGATTAAAATGCAGCAAAGTGGAACACAAAAAATACAGCCCTTAAAGGGATACACCATCCTTTACACACTCATGCCATCCCACATGTGACTGAATGTCTTCAGATGAAGAGTTTTAGGGGGAAACAAATCTGTCTGCATACAATACAAGTGTACAGGATGTCCAGAGATAATGCTTGAAAAACTTCAACACCAAAAAGATTCAACACCTACTGATGAACCAATTTCTTCTTAAGTGAAATGATAGTGTGTAAGAAAACATACAAATACTAATATTTTAAACTTTACCGTTGTGTTCACTTTGGGTGGTTTCTGAAGCGGTCCTGTACACTTGCATTATATGCACACACTAAAAGTCTTTGTTAGTGTTCATCTGAAGAAAGAAAGTCATAAACATCTGGGATGGCATGAAGGTGAGTAAATCATAAAAGAGTTTTCAGTTTTGGATGGACTTTTTCTGTAAAGAGTGGCCTCAGAAGGAGTCAAAAGGGTATGTTCAATATAGAATGTTCAGGTTCATGATCAGATCAAAGATCATGTATCTATGATTAAAGAATCTATACTTACCCAAAAAATGCTTAAAACAGTAGAACTAACAGTCATATGACAAACCAATGACCAGATCAGTATAACTAATTACAGTGAAGAAGACTTGAGTGACATTGAATTTTACTCATCTACAAGGTATAAATGTACATGTATCTTTCTGTTCAGGAGTCTCTCTTGGTTGTTGTGACCAGTGGGCTCCCGGCCGTGAATAAACTTTTATTCCTGCAAAGAGCAACTTGGGAGTGGTGTCTGGTATATGCTGCACAGCTGAGGAATAGAAGACTACCGCAAAGACAGTGATAGTGTTGGAAGACTATAGAGTCGTTCTCAGGCTGAGGCTAATACTCTGAGTTAGTATTAAAGATCCTGTGTCGTACCAGCGTACAGCTGAGAAAGACGGTGAGAGTGTATAGATGCTAAAGACCTGTGTGCTCATGTGTGATTGAGGTAGTGATCGTAGCTTCTTGACGGGACGCTGTCACAATACTTCAGGGAAGTACTGTATTGTAAGTATTCGGGGAATTCAGGGAATTAGTTCGAGATACTGTAGTTATTATATTAGCAACTGGTAGTTGTTTGAATTGTCTGTGGTGAAGTCAGATTTGTATTGGGAATTTCCACGACAAGAGCAAGATGTGATACAGAGGCCAGAGACATCATAGAACATTAACTTTGTAAAAGGCCACTTTTTGTGTTGTCTATTCCACACCCCTGTCTGTAGCAATAATTCATCTTTTAATTGTTAATTTGGTGCATTTAGAGTTTTTTTCTCAGCACTGATATATGGTTATTTGCAACTAATTATATATAATTAATGCGCAAAGCATGTAATTATTTAGAGTAAAAAATAATTAATTGACAGTCCTAACTGTTACTCAATATATCATTATATATCAATATGTCACCACTGGATCCACTCCATAGTAAGAGCATCACTACAAATGATTTACAATTTACAATTTTTATATATTTCTTTTTAGATTTGTTATATAAAAAAAGCAATCATTCCCACCACAACATGAATAATCAAATCTGAGGAAGCTGTGTAATATATTGGCTGAATGCAAATAAAATCAGTGATGACAATTTAAATATGGCAAACTTTTGAAGCCAGAAATTTAAAGGATGAAAGTTAAAACTGAAGCTGAAATGTGTGCTTGATGCATGAAAACAACCCTCATTGGTTCTCACACGTCAAAAGCACGTTAATTGAGGTTCTATTAATCATATTTAATGTGCAAAAATGTAATCAGTACTTTTCAAGTTTAAATAAAATTGTATGGAGTAAAAAGTACTGTTTCTTCTTCAGAAATCTAATCAAGTAAAAGTACAAGTAGTGAGTTCAAATTGTACTTGAATAAAGTACAGATACCCCAAAATTATAGCTACTTAAGTACAGTAATCAAGTATTTTACACCCCTGGTAATAATAATGATAATAGGCTAATAACAACAATTAAAAACAAATTTTCTTTCGGACTTAATAGTTCCTTTTGGCTAGCTGAAATGTAGGTAATATAAATGCACTGTAAATATAAATGGAATCCTTGACGAGACGCACCCGTTTAGTGTTTTCATGTGTTTTGGATGGATTCGTAAATTGTCTTTACCATAGATATGTAGGCTATACATATATACATATTACCTGCAGTAGAGTCATTCACAGGCATGATATGGCGTTTTCTCAACCGCAGTTGTTTTAATCCTATGTTAATCGTATGTTCACTTCTTCCGGTGTTCCTTTTTGGACCTCAGTTTTTAGGCCACTAAATAAAAGTTATGACTCAAGCAATTTACTAGTTACTAGTCTAAGCAATTTACTCATTACTCTAGCAAAATCTTGGGGGGGTGGGTGCCCAGGTGCCCAGTGCCCAGAGCGAAACTGGCTTTGTAAATTTGCGCGCACAAAGTCTACATGGTCACCTAATGGGACCGATCATTAATCATATTAATCAATCTGTTGTTTTCGTTTTCCTCCATAACATCACAAAAAGAATGAGTGAACATTAAAATGTTGTGCTGATGTTGATATTCACACAGTAATTCCTATACTTTACAGCTGAAAGTTAAAGGCCATTACACTTTCCAGAACTTTCTACATCCATTAGCTAACACAGACTGTCAGTTGTTGGTTTTTGACTATGCTTTTACTGTTGATGCAAACACATTAACTTAAAAACCACACTACATTTCGGAGTACATTCCAGATGAGAACTGATGAGCATGCAAACAAGTAAGGGTTGTGAAATGTTGAGTTGCTGTTTTCATGACATGATGAATATTCACTTGAGTCATAAATTAATGATTACTTTTAATTTGTTTAATTTGTTTTAAAATGTAGATTTTTTTTTAATGTTACAACAAACGTGTACAATTAATAATGTTTGTGAAACAAAATACTGTATAAAATAAATGGTGAGCTCAGAACAAACTCAAAAAAATATGCATACAAGATAAATACAAATGTAAAAAAGATTTTTACATTTAAGAGATTTTTTTCATAACTTGTTATTCAAATGCAAATACATATAGAGCAAGCTCAATAACTGTGTCAAAGATACAGTTTCTATTGTGTTTGGCAAGCAGCACTGTAAAAATATCTCTGTACAAGCAGGTAAACACAGTGATCTGAACAAGGACAGGACAACATAAAATACACACTATTTTAAAGGAACAGATCACCCATGCGTTGTTCCAAAAGTCTCTTCCACGCAATTGCAATGAATAGGAAAATTAAGCATAAAACCTTAAGAAAGAACAAAAAAGCAACCAGCAGTATCATAAAAATTGGCTGATTAATGAATAAATCATTCAAATCTATTTGTGAATTGGATTAGCTGATTCACTAAAAAGATCTAGCTCAAAAGAATGATTCGTTGATGAAACAGACATTGCTACTTCTTTCACGAATGAGCCAAGGAGAGCTAAGGTGCAGACTATAGTGTTGTGACGTGTAGCCAAGTCCCATACTCGGAATTTATGCTCTGCATTTAAACCTTCCAAGTGCACACACACAGCAGTGAATAGTGAACACACACCCGGAGCAGTGGGCAGCCATTTTTGCTGCGGTACCCGGGGAGCAGTTGGGGGTTCGGAGACTTGCTCAAGGGTCTTTTTGCTAAAAAGAATATTTGTCAAAATCTGTCCTTTTATATTCCACAGAAGAAAAAGTCCTATGGGTTTGGAACAACATGATGGTGAGTAAATGATGACAGAATTTTCATTTCCGGGCAAACTATTCCATTAAGTTCAACACTACCAAAGGCATGTACACAAGCGTTTATGAAAGTCTTGACAAACTAAAACAAAACTTAACGATCTTATGCTGTAATATGTACTGTATCAGGATTTCATCAGGTAGTGTTTTCTTCCACTCCCCTTTTAATGTGTCCGTTAGTCTGAGCCAGACTCTTCAGAGCTAGGCGGTGTACTGACCACTTCCTCTTCATCATCAGACCCCTGTATAAAAAATAACAGGAACAGAGAATGACAGGGAGACAATGAATAAATTTTCATCATCAAAAAGAAGTCTTAATTAGTCGCAAGAAATTGTAAAAATTACACACAAAAAATATGTGTTTCATATTAAGGCTATAAAACTAAAACTTGTTTTAATTATTAAAGAAGAATCTAAATTTGGAATATTTTTGAATCTAAATGTGAACTAATTATTTTTATTTTATTACACTTATTAAACTGCTCTTTTTTAAATTCCTGTTGAGGTAAATCTCGAAAGAATTCATTCGTTTGGACAGAATTTCGCATTATGCTTTATTTTACATTCAATATAGTAACATATAGGCAACATGTGACAGACAAAAAAATTACTGCTTATTAAGCTGCGGTCATACTAGACTTTGAGCATACAAAATGTCTTTGCACATTGCATCAGTTGTGATATGAATTTGCAGGTTAGAGTTCACCAAACTTGAACTTGGGAACGCAGAGAAATGCGAATCTTCTTTGCTTGAGAATGCATTCCCCATCCCACATTCACATACATATGAATGAACGTCAATGGAATGAAAAGTGACCACCCCTACTGAACATGAGGACTGCTGAGAAGGCGATTGGTGAAAAAAAATAAAAATAAAAATTCTGTTATTCGGGCAATACATCAATTATGACAGTCTACAGCCACCAATAAATTTACCCACCAGTGAAGATACTATGGAAAACACTGTTACTGTAACTAAGTTGATGAATGAAACAGTTTCTATTCCATAAACAAATCTGTTATGTGTGTTTTAGTGTGTTACCTTGCGCTTCCGTCCCTTGCCTTTGTCTGACTCTGATGAGCTCTCCTCACTGGATATGAACTCTCGACTCTTAAAGCTGTCGTTGCCTGTAGCTCGCTCTTTCTCTTTTTCCCTTCCACCAGCTGACTTCCTTTTCTTCTTTTCTTCATTCTTCCCTCCTTTCTTTTTCCTCTCCCTTCAGGAATGAAATGTGGGGAAAACAGTGAGAAATAGCCAGTTACTTAATGCTAAGATCATATTTTGGAACAATGTGATAGTGAGTAAATGACAGAATATTGATTTTTGGCTGAACTGTCCATTCAAAGTGAGGTGCAGGACAAAGTTGTGAACATTTAGAGTACTTTTTTGAGCTGCCTGAGGATCCTCCACCACTCTCCTTGTACTCTCTCATTGCTCGATCATACTCTTTCTTTGCTTCTTCTGCTTTTGCATCCCACACCTGGTGGAAAAACAAGGAATCAGTTCAAGTTCAAATTGAGACAGAAGGAGAAACAAACTGCAGCATTTAACATTGTTTAAAGTCCAGTATGTCACCTCTTTCTTCTCTTTGCTAAGTTGTTTCCACATTTCCCCAGCCTTTTTGGAGATTTCTGTGACAGAGATGCCCGGGTTCTCCGATTTAATGCGGTCTCTGCTAGAGTTCAGCCAGAGCATGTAGGCACTCATTGGCCTCTTGGGGGCGCTGCTGTCCTTTGCCTTTTTCTACACACAAGAACACATAAAGTTGCATTGAATTTGAGAGTAAAAAAACATACAGGGTAAAAAAAACTAATACCGTCAAGCAACAGCATGTACTTAAAATAAATGTAAATAACCAGTGTACAAACTCTGTCACCCATGTTTTATCCTTCCCTCTTCTCTCTTTCTCACCTTTTTCTTTCTTGGTTTTCTTTCTTTTACAAATTTAGCTTTCTTGGTTGGTTTCTTCTTCCGATCGCCATCACTGTCCCCGTCATCAGCGCTGCTTTCACTGGCAGAAGCCTTACTGTCATACCTAACACACAAATATGACTTAATGATTTATCACCCTTATTTTGTTCAGGTATGAGAAATAGTAATAATAACGTTTGCCTTTGCTAGCACCACTAATTAAAACTGTGTCATATCAACACAAAGCCTCTTACTCCTCTGCGATTTCATCATCTTCTTCTCCAGGATTAAAAGACTCGTCTAAAAAAAAAAAAAAAGTCAAATGTTAATTTCTCACACAAAACATATTCCCATCAGTTATCATTTATGACATTTAAACACCTGCACCGAGATATGGCCAAAATTTTGTGTCACAATAGGAGTAATTTTATTTCACAATAACAATATATATCACAATATAGTTATTTTTGCTGGAAATAAGATTGTTACGATACCAACATTTTAGATACCACTGACACTGCACAATTCTTGACACTAATTTTGATATCACAGCAAAAACCAATACTAACCTAATTAACATAAGTAAAAAGTTCTCAAGCTTATAGAAGAATAGTAAATAGTCATCAAAACATTGGCAAGGCTTAAAACCGTCTTAAAATGGCAAGGCTTAAAAACACAACTTATGTGACGGTGCAGCAATACAAAATGACATGAATGCAACTGAGACAACAAAATCAAATGAACAAAATCTCTACAGGTTGACAGATTTCTACAGGTTTATTGTGTCTACATCTAGAGGGCTACATTGGGATATATAATGCAACTGGCATATAGAATGCAAAATATTTTAAATACAAGCATTTCAGTCAAATGTAATTTATGCAATATTTCAAACCTTTAATGCACGGGGAAAATCAATTCATGGCAACAGTTTAAAAGTAGCCCAATTCCGTGGAAAAAAATGCGGACTTGACAACCCTGCATCCAACATGAGCTGCAGGAGTCAGATTTCACTGATCACAGGTCGAGAGTAAGGAGAGATGACTGACAAGACCATGCTCTAGGATTTGCTGCTCAACAGGTCCTGAGCTCATTGACAAACATCTTAACTTGTAAGATGTGCTCCTTTTACGTAGAGTACGCGTGATCACGAAATCCAAAGTGACAGTGAACAGCGAGCGCTCAGAGAGTTGCCACTCACCACTTTCGCCCTCCGAGTCGTCACTGTCATTGGCCTCCTCACGGATCTTGCCCTCTTCTTTCATGCGCTCCAGGTATGCATCATGCTGGTCTTCATCTGAGTCACTGTACATGTTATCATTACGTTTCATGCCCTGACAGAGTACAAATTAAAATGATATCAATGCAATATCAAAATGTCATTGCAAAGTTAGTATTTGTAACAAAGCAGAGGAAAGCCCTCTCCAAGCAAAAGATTTCATACCCACTCATTTTCTCATACTCACCAGCCTCTCTCTCTCTCTCTCACACACACACACACACACATTCATATAAGCAATCAGTGTTAACTCATTCAAAAGCACTCACTTGAGCAACGCTGTCTTCATAGCACACAGAATTATCTAGCATACAAATGGTTTTCTCATACAGTGACCACAAAATTATAATCAGATTTCAGACAAAATACTGTTGTGGTCCTAATGAAAGTCTGTGTGATCTGAACACAGCGTTAAGCTGGTCAAATCATAACCAGCAGTGAGCCACCTTTTTCCACCTTTTGGTGGATGAGACATCTGCTTTAAGCCATCAAAGATAAAAGAGAACACATTTGACACTCGGGTTGTGACTGAGACACGCAAACAAACATCATGCAAGCAAGTTATAGGAGCACCGACACCAGACCAAACTGCAGGGCAATACCAACCTTTTTCTACATGAGTACAATACAGACATACACCACAAACACAAAGAGTAGAATAAGTGTCCGTCCACTGTGTGAGGGGTCTATGAACATGTCTAAGCGGATGAATATTATGTACTGCTTGATAGGAAGCAATATGGGCTGTAGACGTACCTCTTTGAAGCCTCTGTTCTTGATACTTAACTTCTTAGCGTTGACGAAGTCAAAGAGCTTCCCATATTCCTCCCTGAAAAAGATGGTAGAGGCAGATTAAACATATAGAACAAACAGAGGATGAAGACTCTTTTAGAGAGTTAAAAGCCTGTTCACACCAAGTACAAAAACTATATTAGCATCCAAACCAAGGGACAATAAAGTTCTGATTATTGTAAGTGCGTGCTGTGGTTTTGTCTTCTTAAACGCTTGAGCTCTTTAAAGTTAGGTGGATTCTGATTGGCTATCAATGTTTTCATTCATAAGCTGGAAAAAAATAGTTTGGAAAGTGATTCAATCGGTATCGTTCCTCATTGTGTTGTTATCATTACAGCTGTGGTGTGGACATCCCTATTACATTTTTTAATTGAATAACTATCTTTAGTATGTTATAGGGAAATTTTGAATGTTTTAGTGAGTCATGTTTTTCTATAGTAGTTCATTGTGTTGAGTTTTAGATATGAAACACAGTACGATTTACAATGAGAAATGTGCTTGAACAATGAGACTTGTGTGTAGCATTTTTACAAAAAGAACGTAACAGAATGTAGTGCAAGAGTGTGTTAAAGTTCACACAAAAAATGACCTTTCTGTCATCATTTACTCACCCTCGTGTCTTTCCAAACCCTTATGACTTACTTTCTTCAGTGGAACACAAAATATGACATTTTGAAAAAAAATAAAATTTCTACACAATGGAAGTCAGTGGGGTTCAATTTTGTTTGGACAAAATGGACAAAAATAGAAAGTAATACAGGTTTGGAATGACATGAGAATGAGTAAATAATGAAGAATTTTTTAGATGAACTATCCTCTTTAGTTTTGCAGAAAGTGTTGTTTCTAACTGATGCCTTGGTGTATTGATTCAGTCATAATGTGTGTCAAACTGAAAATACTGTAATGTGTATAAAGTAGCTTTGACTTTTTTCCTTTAACATCTAATGTAGAAGGGGTCAGGTCACTAAAAGAGAGGGGCTCTTTTGCTCCAGTATAAGACATAAACAAATAGAATCACCACAAAGAGGAAGCACAGACTTTCTATGGCAGATGGGGTTAAGTGCTCAAGAACATAATGGCAGGAAGTGCCTTAAAGAGGATATGGACACTGGCCTTCTCATTATTGGTGTGGTCTAGTTCCCACAAAGCTTATGTTCTCGACAATTGGACAAGACAAACATTGGGCTCATGGGTACCTCTCGATGCTGCTGAAGGTGTATTGATTTCCCTGCTTGGTCTCAATCTCGAAATCAAAGGAGCGGGTAGTGGTGGTACCACGAGCAAAGTTCACGCAGGAGATCTCCTCAAAGCGCAGGTGCACTGGGGGCTTGTGCACATAGATGAAACCTCTTTCCAGAGGATACAACAGCCCTGAACTGGCCTTATATGAACATGTTATACACTGAGCACCTGAGTGACTATAGAGAAGAGAGGGAGAGAAAAAGACATTGAGGTGTTTTCACAAAAATACAGACTTCACAGAATTTGTAAAGATATTAAATGTTTGTTCTACTACTTAATCCCAGAATATATACTAATGTCTGAAACTTTTTTTTAAAGGATTTCATACTTTTACAAGGATGAATTAAATCAATCAAATGTGAAAGCAAAGACATTTACATTGTTACAAAAAAATCGATTTCAAATAAATGATGCCTTTCTATTCATCAAAGAATCCTGAAAAATATATATATTAAAGCAGCACAACTGTTTTGAAAATTGAGAATAATGAGAAATGTTTCTTGCGCATGAAAGCAGCATATTAGAATGATTTCTGAAGGATTATGCGACACTGAAGACTGCTGAAAATTCAGCTTTGCCATCACAGGAATAAATGACATTTTAAAACATATTCAAATTTTAAAAACTGAAACATTAAATATAACTGACCCCAAACTTTTGAACAGTAGTGTATATTCATCTTTTTTTAAATTACTGTTAAAAAATAAATCAGTAAGATTTGCTGCAATGGCAGTGCATCAGACATTTTGATGTATATTTTATTATATTTGTGTATTTTTATACTCTTTAATGTTTAAAAACATAATATTAACAATATGTAAAAGTATAAAGTATATTGTTTAGTTTAAAATAAATTAAATAAGGTATTTTATACTTGTCACAAAATATTTTTGCAACTGTTTAAAAAAAAAAAAAATTTTTTATAGAGACTTTTCTTTTATAGTCTTTTACCGCAACTTTTTTTGCAATGTATATATGTTTTACCCTTGGAAATTTCCAGGCACTGTGATCTTCCTGTTGACCAGGGCCTTCATGACTCTGCTGACCATCTCATAGAGAGAGCCAGACATGTTTTTATGAAGTTTCCCTTCAAAACGTCTCTCCACCTCATCCCTGCAGAATATAAGAGAGAAAAATGGTATTGCTGGATGGCAACACACTTTGAGGAATGAGTGTAAATGATGGCATAACTTTTATTTTTGAGTAACAATTTTGATTGTCCCTGTAATAAGTATACTGAAAGTTGCTTAGGATAGATGCATCTGCTAAATAATTTCTTGCTCTAAATTAGTTTCATCAACCTTGCTGAAGTGAAAGAAAAAGCTTCAGGGAGAGTCTTTTTTGGGGTGACATATAGTAACACTTCACAGAATATAGCTTAACATAACTGCACCTACAAAATTCATTTTTGGTATCTGCTTTTAGTCTTGGCAGCAAATGTAAACAGTTTATTTCTGACATCCATCTCATCCTTCACCGGTGTCCCTCATTCTCTGTCTCTCTCACTTTAACTCACTCGTTCATGTTGAGAGTGAGGTTGATTTCCTCTTCCTTGGAAAACAGAAGAATGAGAAAATGATAGCGGGTTTGACCTTGTTTAATGGGCGGGTCCAGACTGATCTGAAACAGACAAGAGGTCACAAATATTAACATTAACATAGACGTCTTATATCAGCACAATTCTCAAATTTAGTACACAGCAAAAACAGATCAATGGAATAGACAAAGCCCATTAATACTAGCCCTAAAGATGGATCCAGATAAAAAGAAGAGATAGTTTCACAGACTATGATGCCGTACTCACCACAAAGAACATCTGCCGCTGGTCCTTATGAGGCAACAGGAAAAGGCGGAGCACTGTGGTGTATGGGATCTTGTAGTCAAAAGTCTTACCATGCAGATGGAGGAAAGTCGGATAAATACGAATATCGTACCTACAGAGAGCAAAAACCATAAAACGTGGCTAGTTCACACAATATTCTAAGCATAAAACAACAAGGTGTGATGTTATGAGTTTGTATGTGTACCTGCCCCTAGGTGTGAGGCACTGTAACTCTCTGAAGATACACACAGCATCTCCTGTAGCCTGGATAACATCTGCCTTTGACAGAATGTTCTGAGCAAATGCCTAAAACAGCAGAGAAGAGTACTGTGAGCTCATTATTTTTCAGTTTTAGTGGACTTTACGGATGCAAAGATTTTACTTTAGGGCTCGAACTGGGGTCTGTGCAAAAGTTTAGAGAAAAACTTCATAAAAATGTTTTAAATAAATAAAATAAGATTAAACTGAACAAGCAAATAAAAAATAAGTTGATTAAAATAATATTATAAATAAATAATGAATAAAGATTTAAATAAATGATACATCTAACAGTGCAGTACTATAAAAAGCAACGTGACAAAAAAAAAGTATTTTCTAAATAATATTTTACTTTATTTTTCAAATTAAATTAAGTTAAATTAGGTTTTTACATTAAATTGTATAGCTTAATTTCAGGATGGGTGTCCCTTGCATGAGGATGATCATATTTGGGGACATCTAAAAGATTGAAAGCCCATGCTTTATAGGCATGTAATTATTATTACTTTGCAAACTGTGCCATCTGTTGGTCACTGTCAGGTAGTGGCGCACACACAAGCATGCACACTTACCTCCACAGGGTCTGAACCCTCGTCTCCTGTGGTGGGTGGGACATAGAAACGCACCTCCATGAGGGATACCTCTGTGTCATCATTCTGATGAAACTCCACAGTGACCTCATTCTTTCCCGTTGCACACTGGGATACACTGGCGAGCGGAATCTCAAATGCAGAACTTTCATTCACCTCAAATGAAAGCAACGGCCCTGAAAAGCCACAGAAGGGCAAAACTTGGATATGGCAGTGAAAATACATTTTCAGGCTAAGTTTATCAAAATGCAAAGCTGTTTATTTATTAACAGTCTCCTATTGTTTCTATTAACTATTATGCATTGATTTATTATTTCTAGTGGTCGACCAATATAGTTTATTAATGGCAGATAGCGATGTGCGCTCAGTAATCTTGTAAGTCTGTGTGCACTGGGAATTTATTTTTATTTTTTTTCTAAATAAAAACCAGGTTGTTCTAACTTTACATACAGTACATGGTAAATATGACATAGTACAGTGATATTGATAATTAAAAAATGCCAAATACTGGCAGATACATCAACCATAGCGATATATCGCTCAACCACTATTTCTATTATTACTTATACAGTGTCAAAAGTCCTCTTCTAATACTGTACTATTCATCCTACAGACCATAGAAACTTAAAATAAGGGCACTATAAAAAATGTTTTACTGTATATGTCTCAGAAATGGTGTTGCATCAGGAATGCACTGACCATTAAATTTAGCAGTGCCCCAATTCCAGCCCTTCACACACATATCTTTCTCAATCAGCTCCACTTTGTAGTTGGCTTTGAAGTACTCTGAGATCTTCTCAAGGTCCTGTGCATAAAGAGATGATGGAAAATTTAAGACATGGAACGAAACAGTGGAAGGCGGAGCAAATTGATCTATTTTTATTGAATGTATTTTGTATCTCTGACGCACAGTGTCTTTGAAGCCATCATATTTGTAGATGTTTCCAGTGCTGGTGCACAGTTTGATGCCGTGACCCAGACAGACTCTCCTCCACTGGGCTTGAGTGAGTTCGGGCACCGGAATGCTGTCCACCTTCCCAGTCTTACTGTTTTTATACACCACTGTCTGCTTACTGAAGCGAAGACGCCCATCATTCTGTAGAGAGAGATCAGTCAGACATTTTCTAGAATAACATCTCAGAATAGACACCAGACTGTTGCAGCGTGTACTCACCCAGGTGCCCTTAACCTCCTGATAAATTTCATTGAATTCCAGAGTGTCATTCATGTCAGCCACTCCAGCTTAGACAAGAGTGGACCTGTGACGTTCAAAAGCTGCGACAGCAGAGGTAAAATCATAAATATACATTATACAGTATTCAAATAGATTTTTGTTTTCTCTACATGTGGCATTATGAATTCGTTTACATTTCAAGAGAATTGATTGAAATCTCTTAATTGGCATTGAGGCGGCACACTTTATTGCAGGTTGATTTGGATGTCATTTAGCTTTGTGCTATAAAATAAGTCTTTATGAATCTAAATATCTTGTAGAGGCACTTCAAATGGTTTTCTAAATCTAAACAAATAAATGGAGCTAGCGAAGCTACCATATTCGTGCATCCAATAGCAGGCTAATGTTTTTCTGTTTGTGACGAACCACACATTTTAAATTGACAGTAAATTTCTAACAGGACTAGTTTATTTCGAACAATTTTATTGCATAGAAAATGAAATATGTGAGATATTTGAATCAGTATTACTGTTATTCGGCGAGAGGATCAAGGCCGAGTCCCGTGTGCGTAGATTTGCGGAGCGCAGCGCTCAATAGCGCGTTCGTCATGACGCCATCACGCTCTGTGCGTAGCCCCGCCCTTCCTATTGAACGTCCGTCTGTTTTGTAAACGATCGAACCTCAAAGCGAAAGTTGAAAGGTTTTATTGATGAAGACTGCAGTCAGCATTCGCAAATAATTTATCGTCCGACAACATTCTAGCAGCATTCAGGTATGCCGTGAATTTCATATATATGTAAGCGGTTTAGTCGGAAGCAGTGTTGTTCGATCGATTGATCGATCGATAAATAAAGATTGCCGTAACTGGTCATTTTAATGCAATTTATTTTTTACTCTACACAAAAATAAATTGTTTGTACTTTGTTGCATACGTGAGCTTCTTTGTTTAATGTTTGGATAGCATCTTTGACCAAAGATTTTCTTTACTGTGCGATGCTGTGATATTTCCTATTAACAAAATGTATAAAACAAACACGAGTGTCGTTTATAATCATAATAATAAAAAAAAACATTATGTATTTACCACATACTTGATGAAGGAGGTGAAGATGAATGATGAAGAGTCATTGACTTATCCTCATGTTGGAAACCTGTATGACTTCAGTTAGGCTAGCTACTTTAGTTAACATGAACTAACATTGAAAAAAGAAATAGTGTTACCAACTGTCCTTTAATTTTAGATATGACACCAAAGCGTGGCCTCATAACCGACACCTTCAAGGTTGTAAAGAAGACAAGGAGAGGGGGCAAGAGAGACAAGTCTCCTTCACCGCCAATAGCAGGTGGGATAGTATGTTTGTCTTTATGTATGTGCATATTTCAGTGAAATCAGAGATCTGAAATATGTCATCAAATTCCTAAACTGTGCAAATTATTTAAAGGAGCATTAAAAATGCACCAGTGATGCAGCAGCATTTATAACAATGTAATGACTTATCAGAGCCTGAGCCCCCACAACTGAGTGAAAGAGAAAAAGATCTTCAAGAACTGAAGAAATTTGATCTGGACTGGAAATTCGGACCATGTACAGGTGCGTCATTAATTGTATTAACCAATCTCTTTATGTAAGTTTATGTCTGTATTGTTGTGTGGTTTCTGTAGTCTGTAAAATAATGAAACCCTGAAAATTATCATCTGCATCACTTCCAGGTCTTGACATTTTTTAAGATAAAAAAATATTATATTTAATAGTGTGTTTTTGTGTGTGTGTGTGCGTGTGCGTGTGTTAGGGATCAGTCGACTGCAGAGATGGGAGAGGGCAGCACTGCATGGGCTGAATCCCCAGCAGGAGATTAAAGACATTTTACTAAAGGAGAGCACTGACCCAGAGCACACACAGAAGTATTACAAACATACACTCACATATTCTCTCTCTCCCTTTTACACATCCAGATGCAATCAAAAACCAGCCGAAGCCTGTCACTATAACGCTCTTTTGCTTGCTCTGTTTCAGTCTCTGGTGTGACTATCCCCTCTGAAAAACTGATGGAGAAAAGACAGAAAGATGAGAACAGAAGAAATACTTTTGTAGTGTTTGATATGTTCTACTATGTTTGCTTTGTTGTTTATTACACTACATTTTATTAAACATTTTATACAGAAAAGCTATTGTTGAGTCTCAGGTATTTATAAATCATGGTTTACTCTCTGTGGACCTGCTCCATATGGATAACTATATCAACAACACATATCCTTATATGTTTTTTTAATTTATTTAAAGGGGTCATATGATGTTGCTAAAAAGAACATTATTTTGTGTATGTGGTGTAATGAAATGTGTTTATGCGGTTTAAAGTTAAAAAAACACATTATTTTCCACATACTGTACATTATTGTTTCTCCTCTATGCCCCGCCTTTCTGAAACGCGTCCTTTACAGATCTTCTTTATGCACCAAGAGCTTGTAACACTCCAAAGAGAAAGGAAAAATTGAAATTGCATCATATGACCCCTTTAATCCTTATTTGTATATTCTGTCACTTTACATTTTATAAGAACTGTGTAAGCTTAAACCACAAAGTGAATGTTAAAAGGCCTATTTTTGAACAACATGTACAAATAAGTTATCATCTGAGAACGTTTTAGCAGCATTCAGGTATTTACTGAGTTGGAGGCATTGTTGTTAAACCAGTCGATTAATAACGACCACCTTTACTGGTGATTTTAATACTATTTATTTGGAATTGAAAATGGACATGCTACACAAAAATGCACAATTTTATTCTATATTATATTACTACATATGTCCACTTGTTTGTGTAATGCTCAGAGAGCATGTTTTATGGCTAAAGATCCCCTGTGCTGTGTGCTGCAATATTTCCTAATTAACAAAATTAATTTTAAAAAATCCACTTTGATTTCACTTCGCTGATACACATTATCGACCACTCAATAGACAATTGCAATTTAAGCTTTCTTTTGCACTTATAGCTGTTAAAGTAAGGCATATGTATATGTAACATATAACGTTACAGGAATTACAGCAGCCCCTCTTGAGAATGATATTAATTAGGGGCAGATAATTATGGCAACAACTGAAATAGGTCAGATCCCTTTCCACCCCATCAACCTGCATGTTTGACTGGAATTCATTATAATATCTTTACGTCGACGTGGATTATGGTTTTGAACAAATTTGCTGGTTCAGCATATTGACCTCGAACACTTATGGCCGTCATTAGCTACAATATACCTCCCTTGAGTGACAGATGGATGCGGGGGAGGGGCTGGATTATTGACCCAAATGACGTTGTCCCGCCTCTTTGGTCAGAGTTGTTTCTCATTGGTTCATAACAGCGTCACTTAACATTCACGTAGCCTGAGTGGTTTATGTAAATGTAATTTTATGACGTATACTGTCGCACGCATCGGTCACTGGTTAAACAGAGAGACACAGTGCGGTTGGAAGCCCCGCCCTCCTGCAGCAAGAACGAGTAGGCGGGATTATCAGAGGAGGAATAAAGATGATTTGTCCAGTCCATCCGTCAGGATGATGTTTTGATTGCTCATTGGCTGCAGCTCTGACCATCGATGCTGCGACTGAAGCACCTACGGTTATAATGTCGCCCAGTGACCTAGTATTAAATAAAGCGACGGTTATGTAGCGGCGGATTATAGCATCGTCTTGGACATTTTGAATACTACCTGTACATTCAGGAAGACTTGACAGCGTCGAAAATCTACTAAAAAAGGCAATCATTCATCCCGCAGCGATTTTGTTTTTGTAACGTTATAATTTTCCGGGTCATGCTGAAATCAGAAGGAAAACGCATATAGCAGAAAATCATCATTTGCCTTGAGCAGCGCTGCAGTGCGATCACGCTGCCTCTCTGTCCTGGTGGATTTCAGCAGCACATCGATCTACAATACCACACCGCATTGGGTTATAACTGGGATATTCTCTCTTGTCGCGGTTTAGCATAAAGGTTTGGTAGAGCGGAAGTTATTGGTTTGCAGAGGACTGGATTACAGTTAAACTGGTGAGTAAGGTGTTGTCGGCATCGTGCTGTGTCTGATAATACAGTAACGTTAGATTGGGAGGGATGTCGATCACAGTGCCTGCAGGATCAGTCATTTAGAGGGAATCTGATCAGCAGTGTGTGCTCGTATTTTGCTCAGTCAGCTGAAAGCCAAACTTGACAGAAGGATAAACAATTCACAGCTTCTAATGAGTCGCTATTATTTACATTTGCATCGTGCATCGTCATTTTACTTCGGGCATAGATTGAACCGAAACATTTAGTCTCGGATATTTATGTGTGAAATTTATAGTGTTAAACATGATCTTGAATGGTTTTATTCAAAAAGTCACCATAATAACTGAACCTGCAGGTACAGTAACAGGTGCGCAGTAGTTTCGCGTCTTAATAGAGTCACATGATAATATAATATCCTGGGTCTATTATTCAGACAGGTAGATACAGAACACGTGCAGGTGTTTAGTGTCTTTACGTTTACGTTAGGATAATTTTATTTATTTATGTTAATATTGAAACTTCCCTCTAGTTAGAGAGAGTCTCTTTTGAAAATTAAATATATAATCCAGATAAAAATGAAAATTCTGTCATTACTTATTTCTCATGTTGGTCCAAACCTGAAGATGTTAGAACAGAGAGACTTAGTCACCATTCGCTTTCATTGTTTCTTTTGTTCATACAGTCAAAGTGGATGGTGACTGCGACTGTCATTTGTGATTTTTACCTGAGAAAGTAGTCATATTTTGTATGGTAACAGATGAGATTGAGTAAATGATGACTGAATTAGATTTTGGGATGCTGTCCCTTAAAGATACATTCTTCTCTTGCAGGGATGGACAATGCCCATACTAAGACGGTTGAGGAGGTGCTGGGATATTTCGGTGTCAATGAGACAACGGGACTTAGCTCTGAGCAATTAAGGAAGAGCAGAGAAAGATGGGGCCCCAATGGTACTACATCATTTGCAAAAAAAAATACAACATACGTTTTGTACAATATGAACAATAAATAATGTCATAATGAGATTATTAACTTTAAAAGCATTAACTTTTTTTCTTCTGCCCATTTTTCTTTTATTTTGCTATAACCTGTGCCACAGAGTTACCTGCTGAAGAAGGTGAGCTGCTCCCTTGGGTTTGTGTAATTATTAGCAGATCTTTCATCATATACTCCAAGCTAAAAGTCTCTCTGAGCGTACCTTTGTTGCATGGGAGATGCTGGTTGTGTAGATAATTAGTTATTATTGGATTCCCTTGAGGAGGCTGGATGAGGTTTGCATTCTGTTTGTAGCTGAATAGATCTTGATTGAATGTTTCGTAAAGATGTATGTGTAAAGGTTTTTTAAATTGTTTACATGTTCCAGGTTTTAGTGTTCTGAAAGTTCTTTTTCACTTGATTGAAAGTCATCTTTGTCAAACTTTGTGACCGCTGTAGGTCTTTATAATCTTTGTTGTGTTTACAGGCAAGTCACTATGGGAACTTGTTCTGGAGCAGTTTGAGGATCTGCTAGTTCGGATTCTCCTCCTTGCCGCCTGTATTTCCTTTGTAAGTATAAATCAAAGACTGTGTTTACTCGCACACTGTTAAGCAAGATTAGCGCTGGCACAGAACAAAAGCACAAGCTTTTCACATTCATAGATGCCAAACATAGATGCATCAGTTCTACAAAAATCTTCTAGCAATCTTCATCCATTTACAAATACTATCTATCTATCTAGATAGATAGATAGATTAATTGGGTACAATTAGTTTTGGAAAAAATAACATTTTAAAATGATTCATGTATTTAACGCACCTTGGCCTGGGCCAGAGCTATACGTGATTTTACATTGCATGCAGCAGTTGTTGACGAACATGATGCAGGACAATGACTGACTGCATGATGTAGCCTATTAGAATGCAGTGTTACATGCCCCTAAAATTCAAGATATGGTATAATTGTCTATTTATATCATATGATATAGTTAAGCACATCAACATATCACACATCTTCATGATTGCAAATATAATATTGATTTTAGTGAACGGTTCAATAAACAATAGTTAATATTGTGTTACATTTTAGACAGAATATTGTCAGTAGCATCTGTTTTTGCTCAATTTTGCCAACAAAAATAGTTCCAAAGCATGCCACAACACACTGCCTCTGAGCAGAGGCGTTTCATTAAGGAATGAATCCACATTTTGAACAAACTGAGCGAGCTGATGATTCAGTGAGCCATTCATAAAGACGGTCACTTGCTTTATTTCTAAATGAATTAGTCATTTGAATGAATTGGTTGAATGAAACATTAAATGACTCACTTGACCTGACTTGCTGCCGCCTATTGGCAGTTTTAGTTTAATATTTAGACTATCAAAAAGTAATTTTATATTTCAGTATTTATTTAAAAAACATTAATGCCCATTTAAACCCCATTAATCTCATGGCATTATTTATGCAGTTCTAATTGCAGTGTGAATTTATGCCATCTCTGAACTGTAGTTTTGTGTCTTAGAGTCACATCATAATGTAATATCCTGGAACTTTTATTCAGGCAGGTAGATACAGAACACGTGCAGGTGTTTAGTGTTGTTACGTTTATTTATTTTTTGTTAATATTGAAGCTTCCCTCTATTTAGAGAGTCTCCTTTTGAAAATTAAAGGTATAATCCAGATAAAAATAAAATTCTGTCATTATTTATTTATCATGTTGGTCCAAACCTGAAGATGTTAGAAGAGAGACTTAGTCACCATTCGCTTTCATTGTTTCTTTTGTTCATACAGTCAAAGTGGATGGTGACTGCGACTGTCATTTGTGATTTTTTTACCTGAGAAAGTAGTCATATTTTGTATGGTAACAGATGAGGTTGAGTAAATGGTGACGGAACATCTCTGAACACTGTGTAAATATACCTAAAATGCCAGTTTAGATGCATCTTCTGAAAACAATGTTATGGCCACATTGTAGCCTTAAATTTCATGTTTTAATACTGTTGAGTCAAAAACATCTACATTTATAATCGGTTTAAAATTATAATTTATCTAATAAATCTTAAGTGAAACTTAACTTATATGAAAATGAAATTCATATTATCTTCAAAGGAACTCATTAATTATGCCCATTTATTTTTAAACA